TGGCTAGAGGGTATTTGACAATCAAAAGTTGCATTGTAAGAGGAAGTTAGTTGATTGAAATTAGACTTTCAACATCACTTATGCTAGAAATAATGAGAAATTTAAACACCAAGTTCTCTGTGGTTCTCTCTCAGCTGGAGCTTTGACAGCAGGTTGTCACAAGTCAGGACAGCCCAAACTGGTAGCCAAGTACTGTTTAGATGTGTAAGGTGTCTCTGGCTATCCACCGGGCGAGCTCAGAGAAGGAAACGAGGCAATGCAAGCAAGAGAAAGGGAAGGAAGGGGCAGCAAGCAGACAGCACCGTCCGGCTCCCGGACCAGCCTTCCTCTAGCAGCCCCGTGAGTTTGTGAGGCCGTAGGTGCTGCCCTGTGGCAGGCAGCAAGGGGCACGGCCAGGAGATGCGAGGCTGGCTTTGAGAAGAAAACCCATGTGTTCAGGAGACGAGGGTGACTTCTGTGATGGGGAACACAGGCCTCGGGCTGGGTAGCAGCAGGCCACAAGCTGTGTCAGCTCCACCAAAAATACTGTAAAAATTCCGGGTACCCCCATTACTCATACGGCATCTGTAGTTGACAAAACCACACATTTAGAAGATACCAAAGGCCACCTAACCTTGCTCCTTTGGCATGTGCTTTTGTTAGGTACTATAACATAAACAGGAATTTCCTATACAAGCTTTCAGCCAGTAAATTACGACTCTCGGACACCCTGGCTTTTTAACATCTCTGAATGATGACATATTTGAGGAATACTGTTTTGCTCATGGGATCAGACTCACCCTTTTGTTGTCATAGAGAAATACTGATTATGCCTCCTTGGAGTAATAAAAACTGCTCTGTCTTGACAAAACAGGGATTTATCCTTTGTAAGGCTACTCAGGGCTTCCTGAGGGTTTGGCTGGCTGAAAGCAGCTCTAAAATCCCATCTTCCGAAACTGCAGCGAAGCGTTCTGTGCGCTCCTTGCAGGCCAGCCCACGTGCTTAGGATGGCGTTTCCTGGCAGCAGGGAGGCAGCAGTAGTTTCTCTCCAGTTGTCTCAGCTTTGCCAGAAGAAATCCTTGAAGACAACACAGGCCCCAGAATAAATCCAGTCTGCATACAATTAGAGAAATGCAGTGCCAAATAATTGAAGACGAGTCCAAGTTAAATCTATCATAGTTTAAATCTGCGTTTCATCTTTAGCTTTGTATTTCTTGTCTTGAATGTTTGATTCTTCCTCTTTGACACAATACTAACCTGGGGTGGGGCTCTGCATAAGTGTATGTATTTACATTCAAGGAATACAGATTTTGAATCGTGTCTTTTGCTCAGAAACAAAATGGGGTTCTCATTATTGTTACCAAATATCTCTTGTCACATTATTATTCAGCAGCTTGGCAAGTCATGAGAAATGCACTTTATTTCTCTGTCTTTAAAGTGATGCAAATGCTGGCATCTCTGCAGGTGGATCAGAGGTTCTCTGTTCAGCTACAGGAAGTGCCAAGCCAGTTTTTTCAACATTCAGAAAGCAAACCACCATATACTGAAAAATATATTACCAACAAAGCAAAGAAGCAACTTGCAAACGTATCTTGAGTGGGGTAGATGGTTATACTTCTCCTTTTCTATGGCAGAAGGGGAACAGGAGTTGGCTTCAGCGAATTCCCTCAGCCCGGTGACCGTGCTTGGCTGTGTGCTTGGTGGAAATAGCCTCGTTAAGTCTTGTTTTGCCCCGTAGAAGTGGTGGGCAAATGATGAGTTCCCCTGTCACAAATTACAGCGGACCGACTCGGACTTTGTAAATCAAGACAACGGCCGTGTTCACCCCAGCCTATGCCGTTCGCCTGCGCTGCTGGAGGCGGCTGGGAGCACTGGTGCCCGCAGCCCAGCTCGGGGCGTCCTGGGGAAGGTCGCACAGGCAGCTGCACTGGGAGCGTGGGAGCTCCCCGCTGCAGGCAGGATTGCTGTGTTCAGACTGAAGGAAGCTGCTGTAGACACTTTGTAAAAATAACATTTACAGACATTTTCACATGAAGCGAGTATGGATCTTTACAACGTTCGGGTGTCATTTTCATGTCTGCACGTAAATGCTCTGTGGGTTATTGGGTCTGGGCATTCTGGTGTTTCCTCTAGAACAAGTTAGGCTGGTGATGAAGAAGCTGATCACTGCTAGAAGCTTAATTATAATCTCAAATTTCATTCAGAGAAGGAAGCTCCCACCCCCCTTTTCCTTTTGATCTTCCTGCCTTAGTAATTTTTTATTCCACCTGGGATAGCTACACAGCCACGAAGAAGCAGTAACATCAAGTACATGTCTAAGCTTTGCTGTCTCTCCTGATCCTATTTATTCTGACTGTCTTGCTCCTCCACTTTCTACTCACCATTATCTGCCAGGTAAATTTTTTTCTCTTTCTTTTTTCCTTTCTATTTTCTCCCCATACCATTATTTTTTCTATGTATTTTAACACTCCTCTTAAGCTACTCATTTTTCCTAAATATTCAAGTTGCTATTTTGAAGGTCAACATCTCATCCCTGCTCTTTTCCCCCCTCAAGAGATGCATTTTTCAGTTCCTTCTGTCCTGTATTGGAACCATTTAACAGCCACTCTCATACCTGCCAGCAGAGCTTGTCCAGGCAAGATCCACATTTACACATCTGCTGCTCACCCCGGCTATTCCAGTCAAGCTTTTGTGTTTGTCCTGGTGACTGCTTTAATTGGCGTCTCCTTAGTCCCCTGAAGTCAGTATGCACTGGCACTATGTATTTTTTTAGTAAAAATACAGTATGAGTATGTAAGGTTGTCCTATATAAGGCTGTGTCACCTTTGTGGTGACACGAACGATGTAGGAATCATTGTGCCTGTTTTTTCCCCTCTTTTCCTGTCTTCTGTCTTTTCAGTCTTCTCTGAACTGACCTTCATAACTGAAACTTCCAGCTGCTCTGTGTAAAGCCTCCTTCGAAGATGAGCTCTGTGCCTTTCTCTGGGTCTGCAGCCAGAAGGTGACCCTTGCAGCTAATTCTGGGGGAACCAAGGACTTCACCTCCATGGCAAGTATGACAGAAGTAACTGAATAGCAGAGATCACTAGGCGATCTACTTTCTCTCTCTGCCAATAAACAACAACAAAAGGGACTCTTGCCCAAAAGAGATCACTGCTAGCCGCTTTTAAAACTGTTAAAGCAAACCTGCTCTTTTCTACGGAGGGGAAATGAGGAGCAGGCATTTGACTGCGTGGAGCAGAGGGCACCAGGGCGTATATAGTCATGTGCGACGATGTCAGTGGCTTCCTGGCATCCGCATCATCCCCGACGGGCTGCAGTGGGTCTGTTCTCCCTGCACGGAGGCTACAGACGCCTTCACGCTCTGCCCCGACCTCAGCACTTCAGCAGCCCTCCCTCC